AGAAAAATTACATTTCAATGTAACCTGCAAACACGAATATATAAGATCTAACTCGCAATATTAGGATAACTAAAACTACCCAAGGCCTTTTTAGTGTTTTGTCAAAATAATAAAAAATAAATAAAACAATATCTGATGACACATATCATTAATTAGCATTAGCTACACTAACAGGTGCAAAAAATCTAAGAAACGCGTAACCTCTCGAGTACTATTTTTGTAGTTTCCATTTTGTTAATTTGGCCAACACCCCAAAAGCTAGTTTTGTTATTATCCCAACAATATATCATAGGTAAAAGTGGATTTAGTCAAAATTTTATTTTTAAGAACATAATTTTTTTCACCTGATGTGGATTTCGGTCTATGATGGACTGCTCTTTGAACTTGAGCTTGCACGAATATCTACCACTGCCTTTGATTCGCATGGTACCATAATGGTCACAATAGATTTTACCGATTATGATATTATATATAGAGGTGGTGACCTTGCTCCACTGAAATGTCTCACCATCCTTAAACTCCAGTGTCAAAACCCCCACAGGATCGAGTTGGATTGATCGACCCCAGAATTTTCCTTTGAGATTCGAATCCCCCCAAAATTTCCAGTCCCTACCCTCACAATGACAGGCAACAATCACTGGGTGATGGCTGACCTGAAAAAAAGGGAGAAAAAAAAAAGTTGATATTGACAAACATATGCTTTAACTTATGATTGTTACCATTAGTTAGACAAGTTTTACCCATTTATGACTACCTAACTATAGTCAAACTAAAGATGATAAATAATTAATGTGGGATTTTTTTTTATGACAGAAGAGAGAACCTTTTCAGAAAAGAATCGTAATCCCTTATCAGGAAAATCAGCCTCGTAGGTTTCCCCTAGGAGAGGATTGAAGGGTTTGCATTGTCGGCCTTCGGTTGATGCATAACCAGATACCGCAAAAGCTGCTACATTTAGAATTCTCATCAAGTCATTTCCCTGCAAAAAAGGGGGGAACTGTTCCTTTCAAAATTGAAACTCAAAAACAGCAAGTGTACCTACAAAATGTATGTTCTTACATATAACTTATTAGTCCAAGACAATCAGCTTACCATTTAGTATATCACAAACTACGGACTGTAAAAAAGGCAAATGTACATTCTTACGTATAACTTATCAGTCCAAACATGAGACGAATCACTTAATCGGCAATCAGCTTACCATTTAGAAACTTGAGACAAATTACTTCATCTATGATAAGTTCACTATTTACTGGCATCTATGATAAAAACCTTAGCCGAGTAGATCAACTAGCCAAACTATATATGGTGAGTATATCACCCTTCCATTAAAAAAATAAAATAAAATAAAATAAATAAATAAATAAAACAAAGACCTGACCTGGTTTCCCCATTCCACTGCTCGGTCGACAAGATACGAGTATTCCAAGTCTTCAAAGCATTTTTGCAGTGAGGACAGTGGCTCATTGAAGTAAACTGGTAGACAAACACCTGACAAGTCTTTTCCAATGTTGTCCTTAATAATCGACCATAGCCCGACAGGCTTATCTTTCTCCTTTGGTTCTGGTAAGTTATCCCTTCTTTTGATGTATGGGAATTCGAGATCCCGTATTTCCACTCCAACGTCTCTCATATGACCAGAGAAGGAAGATCTTCTTTCATTTGTCGAGGGGCTATGAGCAAACACTGGATTATCTCTTCTTTTGTACGAATTGCTTCTAAGACACTCTGCAGACAGAGAATCATTTGTATCGAAAAAGATTCTTTCATCTTCATCTGTTTCAACATCGACTCCATATCGACTTTCATTATCTGCTTCCGAGTCGGTAGCACTTCCTCCCGACATGACTGAGTAGAAATCTGAAACTGCTTCGATTTAAAATGACAAAAAAAAAAAAAAATGCCAATCAGTTTTATTTGGAAACATTACTAATTAGGTTTCAAAAACATCTCTTTCAGTTCAATAACCGGATAGTATGAATGCTGAACTAACCACTGAACCTTCTCCCCTGTCCACAAAACGAATCTCGTGCCTTGGTCTCATCCACAACAGTTGTTTCCAGCTCGATTTTCTCAGTCTGTGAATGAATTTAACTGGTGTCACAATCTTTAGATGCTCTATGATCCCATTATCGAAGAAAAAAGAGATTTCTAAATAATCAACATAAACAATCAAAGTTTAGGAGAGACACTGCATCAACCACACATGAACTTATTTCTTCATATTCATATTAAACATGATCTAAGGCTGAGAGGCAAGAATAATAGTAATATCCAAAAGTATAAATAGGCATCTTCCACTCAATTTTTCCTGAGTCCTGATAATGATATTCAGAGTCCACATTGTATTTCGACTATTTTTCCACGCCAGAAAAGATAGCCAGAAAACCAAGATACTAAAAAGTTTGAGTTCTCAGAGATGTTTTCAAAGAATAAAATAATATAATTTAATTGCGAAAAACAGCGCAAACCCATTTACACCTCCAGTCTCCTTAATGTGTCCAGCAACAAGACGTGCTTGATTTGAAGTTCCTTCATCTGATCCTGTATCAATGCAATTTCACCTAACATTATAGATTCACAATCTTTAACCACCATCTCACTAATCCCTTCTTCGGTTAGTCTTGTTCTCAGCTTCTCGGTTGAAACTACAATTTCTTCAGAAGGTGCCAGCTCTTTGCTTGTCAACAGTCTTGGAAAATTATCTTTAGCCAACATAAGCGCCTCAATCCACGAAGCTCTGTCCTCTTTCGACTGGCAACGCAAATGAAGAGTTTTTGTTCCGGTGAATATGTAAAGCCTTTTGTCGTCCGATTTGCTGATCCGAACTGAGGAAACCTATTCGAATCATTTCGCAAGCATTTAATCCTAATCCACCAATAGCAACATCTAATGTATGTACCTATCTTTAGTAAAATGCATAAACAAGCAACCAAGAAAATCTACAGAAAAGAAAAAAGACCAAGTTCCAAAGCAAAACCAGTCAACTCACCTTCAAATGTACCTCCCCAAATGGCTTCCACTGCTTCTCAGAACTAAACCCATTCCCCACGGAACCATTTTGGCTCCAATTACCGATACTGCCCTTCCTCATGTACCTCCAGCTTTCTTCCCCGATCACCCTCAACCCTTTGTCCCTACACGAGCTGACGAAGATTTTATCCGGCCCGTGCACCTTGTAATATGATAAAACCCCATCTTCCAAAACGAACCATCTCTCCCTCCACCCCTTGCCGTAGTTCACCCATTTATACAGAATCCCGGCCACACTCTTCACCTCGCAGTCCTCCTCGATCGCGTCCGGCACCAAATTGGTCGAGAAACTGCTCCTCGAGTTAAAACTCATCGGCCGGAAAATCGCATTCCGGCTGCCACTAACCTCAGCCGAACTGAAGCGGTCGCTCTCGGATACGACCTCATGGCCCGATGCGCGTGGCTTCACCACAGCTCGATCGTTCTCGGATGTCACCGGAGCAATGCAGCACAGCGGATTCATCCTCTGGGCCTCTGGCGGAACCGGAATCGAGCTCCGATCTCGGGATTTCAACAGAGTATCTCACCCGATCGGAGATCGGCCGGACGCAAACACCGAAAATATCACATGGGCTTTTCAGTAAAGTTGGAAAGAAACTGAGGGGGGGTAAAATTACAGTGAGAAATCTGCTGGTGTAGTGTGGGTTGAAATTATGTTTCACGGATCGAGTGTAGAGAAAAGTACAGAAAGCTGTATGTAATGAGTAAATGTGGCAGAGGTGCAGGAGCATTAATGGAGTTGTGTCAGTAGAGAGGGGTGGCGCAGGTTAAGCGGCGGAGGAGAGACATGGACGGTGGCCGTGAAAATTCATGGTCATGGTGTTTGGCATCGAGGCTTGACTGAAGGGCGGTGATGGCTAACGTGCGCGCTGGTGTTTCGATTGGCCGAGTTTTTATTAGTGCTTGGAATTTTGGTGTTCTTTTTTAGTGGATCAATTTTAATAGTCAACGTGAGACTGACTATAGTTGAAAATCGGACCAAATTAGTAATATTCATTATCTTCTTTTACAGTTTTAAAAATTCAAATTTGTTAGAATAAAAAGAATCTAAAACATAAAGAATGTCATAAATTCACATTAACACTTTTAGGTCTAAGATTTCTATTTTGTTAAGCGAGTTAGTTTTTTGACTTGATATTGATTATTTTGAATAAACATGTAGTACTTTTTTACTTTAAATAGTTATATTTCATAAATTTGTAAATAATATAAAATAATTGTTATTTATACTTTTTAAAATATAACATTGTAACATATTTTATTCTTACTAAAAATAAGTTTGTCATTTTTTTATACAACCAAATCTACTCATCTTCGTCGCTAACAAAAACATAAATTTAAAATAATTATACTATAATTATAATAAATAATTATACTAAATGCTCTTTAGAAACTTGCAAGAGGCATCTTTTGTGGATAATTAAGCTCGTCTGTTATGTTTTCATGTTTCATTTTGTAATTTATTCCGATAGACGAGTAACATGTGTATCAATACAACATCATATACGTATATGTATGTTATTCATCCAATCGAATGAAAACTCGAAAGGGAACACCAAAGAATAGCAATCCACTCTTTCGAGTTGCATAATTTAGTTTTGCATTTAAAATTAAGGTAAATAATGTGCATTTTTTTTATTTATTCATTTTATGTATTTATATTTTTTATATTTGGGTAATTTATGCACCCTTAAATTTCCATAAACAAGTGGACTTAAAGAGTCTCTCTGTCCTTACATATCTCACAAAAATACCAATGATCTCAATATACTTGCCCAAAAACTTTGCATGGCCAATTACTTTGAACTCCCCTAAATATCCGCCGCTCCACCACCCATTCCCACCGCCCCTCCGCCCAATATAAATCCCCCAACCGCCACCTCCGGCATTCACCACAACATCTTTTGCCACCAAAAAAAGAAAAAATAAATAAAAAAAAAACAAAGCAAGAAGAAAAATTATTTAATTAATTAAATCAGTCCACAAAAATGGCAAAACAAATCATCATTCTTGCTCTCGTCGTCTTCGCAGCCGTGGTGGGGCCCGCCTCAGCCCAAATCACCGCGTCTTCTCTAGCTCCGGCCGTCTCCTCCGCCGCCGGTGACGCTGCTGCCGCCGCCGCCGGAGGGCCCACCGGCGACATCATCGGGACTATTACCGGCGGGAGGACCGCCAGTGATGCCGCCCCGTTGGGAGGTCCCGTGTCGGACGGAGTTTTCCCGGACCTCGCACCGGCAGCGGCTCCCGAAAGCAGTGCCGTCGGGTGCGTGGGGCCCACCGTCGCCGGAGCTGTTGCCGCCGGAGGTGTTGTGGTGGGGTCGTTCTTCTTCTTCTGAAGTTTTTGTATTGAGTTTGGTGGCAGTATTCGATGTGGGATGTATAATTCATTTGGGGAAAAATATTTCTTTGGGATTATAATATTGTAAGTTATCATTATTGTTGTCATTTTACTTTTGTCTATGTTGTACAAGTTCAATAATCTATTTCAAGGAAATATATCATATATGTGTTGTACAAGTTCAATAATCTATTTCAAGGAAATATATCTTATATGTGAATGTCATACCTTATTTTTCTCACTTTTTTTATCATGCTATAGATTAGTAATGGTGCTGAATTCGTCATTTTTTCTTTAAAGTATGTATTAATTTCTGACTTAATTGTGAAGAACCATTAGAATAATAATATAAATACTAGTATCATTTTTTCTTTAAAGTATGTATTAATTTCTGACTTGTGAAGAACCATTAGAATAATACTATCAAGTATTGTCAATGGAACTAGTTTAAAATAAAGTATAGTTTGGAAAATCTATATATATTGAAAAAGAGAGGTCAATAAATCATTTGTAGAAACTTTTAAAAAATTGGTCAACAACCCAATTGACTTTCCTTTTGTAGAAACTAATTTAAAAATTCTTTCAAAATATATGTTTTTTTTTTCCTGTTTTTTAGGGATGGATATACCTTTAACGTGATAAGATATATATATGTGATTGCATATTTTGTTGTTGCATCCCAAAAATCATGGTATTTAAAATCTATCCAAATACAATCCATAATTATCTTATCACTTTTGTTAATAAAAAATTGTATAAAAAGATATTCACTACCACCATTACAACTCATCATTCACGAGTTCAGAGAAAAAAAAATACAGAGAATAATTTTTCATCGCATATACAATATAATGCTTCCAGGCTGGGGTAAACTTGATATATAATGCTTCCAGACTGGGTACGTTAACAAAAGAAACAAACCTTTTTTTGCGTCTGAGAGTAGTCCGCATTATTGAAACTCATCACGAACGGAAGAGCTATAACGCATTTTCATGATGAACAGGTAATATTTACCTTTTTTATTTCAATTTTATATAATTTAGAAAATTATTTTAATTAATATTTATAACAAACTTTTTTTGCGTCTGAGAGCAGTCCGCATTATTGAAACCCATCACGAACGGGAGAGAGCAATCCGCATTATTGAAACCATCACGAGCAGGAGAGTTGTAACGCATTTTCATGATGAACAGGTAATATTTACCTTTGTTATTTCAATTTTATATAATTTAGAAAATTATTTTAATTAATATTTATAACAAACTTTTTTTGCGTCTGAGAGCAGTCCGCATTATTGAAACCCATCACGAACGGGAGAGCTATAACGCATTTTCATGATGAACAGGTAATATTTACCTTTTTTATTTCAATTTTATATAATTTAGAAAATTATTTTAATTAATATTTATAACAAACCTTTTTTGCGTCTGAGAGCAGTCCGCATTATTGAAACCCATCACGAACGGGAGAGCGCAGTCCGCATTATTGAAACCATCACGAACAGGAGAGTTGTAACGCATTTTCATGATGAACAGGTAATATTTACCTTTGTTATTTCAATTTTATATAATTTAGAAAATTATTTTAATTAATATTTATAACAAACCTTTTTTGCGTCTGAGAGCAGTCCGCATTATTGAAACTCATCACGAGCAGGCTGGGGTACACTTGATATATAATGCTTCCAGACTGGGGTACGTTAACAAAAGAAACAAACCTTTTTTTCGTCTGAGAGCAGTCCGCATTATTGAAACCCACGGGAGAGCTATAACGCATTTTCATGATGAACAGGTAATATTTACCTTTGTTATTTTAATTTTATATAATTTAGAAAATTATTTTAATTAATATTTATAACAAATCTTTTGAACAGGTAATATTCACCTTTGTTATTTCAATTTTATATAATTTAGAAAATTATTTTAATTAATATTTATAACAAACCTTTTTTGCGTCTGATAGCAGTCCGCATTATTGAAACCCATCACGAACGGGAGAGCAGTCGACATTATTGAAACCCATCACGAACGGGAGAGCTGTAACGCATTTTCATGATGAACAGGTAATATTTACCTTTGTTATTTCAATTTTATATAATTTAGAAAATTATTTTAATTAATATTTATAACAAACCTTTTTTTGCGTCTAAGAGCAGTCCGCATTATTGAAACCCATCACGAGCAGTCCGCATTATTCAAACCCATCACGAATGGGAGAGCTGTAACGCATTTTCATGATGAACAGGTAATATTTACCTTTGTTATTTCAATTTTATATAATTTAGAAAATTATTTTAATTAATATTTATAACAAACCTTTTTTGTGTCTGAGAGCAGTCCGCATTATCGAAACCCATCACGAACGGGAGAGCTGTAACGCATTTTCACGATGAACAGGTAATATTTACCTTTGTTATTTCAATTTTATATAATTTAGAAAATTATTTTAATTAATATTTATAAATTTGTATCGTAGGTGCTTTCATTAAATGCATAATACATTATCCGAATATGAGAGCAACAAACTTTATATAAACTGAGAGCAGTCTAATTTTTGTAAAATATGTAAACTTTAAACGTATTTTATATATAAAATTTTATATACTTTTAAACATGTTAGTTGGGCAAATTTTAAGGATATATATACATATATGTGTGTGCTAACTTTAAGTATATATATTTTTCTTATAAAATAGTCTAGACAAAATTGAGGTAATTTCACATTTTTCAATAATAATATAAAATATTTTAATACTTTCACATATGTTATATAATAGTCTGCGTATTCTTAATGCCTTTTGGTTGTAACACTGTTAACACATATAATATTAGATACTTTTAAACATGTTTAGATATTTTTTTTACTCATTCTTTAATATCTATGTGCATAAAAAGAGAATAAGATTTATAAAAAAATTTCCGGCAATATACTAAATGTTAGATAAAAATCTCATTTTATTTGTTATATAATATTTCGAGTTGCATTAATTTTGATTTGTATGTGTAAAATTGATAAATTAAGCGTATGAAAAGAAACGTACGAATTACTGTAAAGATTTAAAAAATAAAAAATAAATCTAATTTTTGAATATTTTCTAAACGAATTTATGTCATAATTCATCATAATTTTCCCACATCATGTCAATATTTATTTTAGCTATACTAGGTAAAAGGTAAATCATTATCTCAATATTTATTCTATATATTCTAAGTAAATCTTCTCATCTATCTCAACGGTCCGCAGGTAGTATTTCATACTTTTCTATTCATAATCAAATATACCAAACCTTCACAAATTTTACTTCACAAAGAAAGTGTTCAATAATTTATATTTTTTTTCCTTCTTTGCAATCCATTTATTTTTATTACATATATATAAATTATATTATTTTTAATATTTCACACGTTAAACATTTCAGGAAAATATATCAAATATACCAAACCTTCACAAATTTTACTTCACAAAGAAAGTGTTCAATAATTTATATTTTTTTTCCTTCTTTGCAATCCATTTATTTTTATTACATATATATAAATTATATTATTTTTAATATTTCACACGTTAAACATTTTAGGAAAATATACCATCCCGTGCGTCGCACGGGTACTGTACTAGTGAGACTGGATCAAAGGGTTTGATTGCGGATCGATCACCTAACATGTTACGGGAAAATCGTTAGCTGACCACCAGTCAAACAGATAAAAAATCAAGTAGTCTGAATTATTATTATTATTAAATTGGCAGCATAAGTGATTGAGGTTGATTAATTTTTTTACGACTCTATACGTTGTGATGAAGATTGATTTATAATGCATATCCAAATATTAATAATTTCCATGATCAATGTAATTTTTGTAGTATGATTTGTTTTCACATCTATTCTTATGCAATAGTTTAATTTTTAATTTATTATTCAAAATATTTAAAGAAATACATTAACATAATTCCATTGTAAGATTCTCAGTTGTTCAAAATATATTTTTTTGTTTTTAGCTTAACTTCAAAAGCACATGAAAATCATCTTAATTATGGCCCACACTAAAGAGCCCTAACTGATTTAACAAGGTCCTAAAACGGATTAAATAAGAAATCCAAATGTAAATGAATTAAACATGTGCCCACATTGCCCAAACTTTTAATCAAGGGCATAAATTTTTTCGAACATCATCAACGGCTGAAAATAAATTTTGAAAGACGCTTACAAATTATTAACAGTTAAAATCATCCTCAAAAACCTCACTTCACTCTTACCTTGTTGATCTCCCCATCGATTTCAAATATATTTTTTTGAAAAGGTCTGAACTTTATTGGGTCCAATACTGTTAGCTTCGGCTCCAGAAAATAAAATCCTGATTGCGCGGCCTCGATGCATAAAAGGCGAACATTGGCGCCGGAAAAGCGGTGGCTCGGATCCTACGAACCTCTATAGGACATGAAGGCATGCATAGGGTGCTTCATTTTGGGATATATGGCCCAAATCAATATCTTATTGTGCTACTATACTATTCTCCTTCAAATTTTACTTCTGTGGAATGCAATTCTCAATAAACTTACATTTCCTCTATAATAGACTTCATGATGAGTGATTCCAAAAAAAAAAAAAAAATCATATCAAATCAACCAACGATACTATCTTAAAAAATAGACTTCATGATGAAATAGACTTCATCATGATGAGTGATTTGTTTTGTCTATCCGGGAGAGGTTCTTTCCTACTTGAGAAATGGAAGTTGTTATTAATAAAATATTAAAAATATATTATTCAATATTGTAATTAGGGGGGCCTAATTTTATTTTTCGCTCTGGGCCCAAAAAATGTTGGAGACGGCCCTGCTTAAGAATCTCATAATACCCAACCCAAATATGTAACTAAAGACAAAGAACTGTTAAAAAAACTAAATATCAAAACTTTGAAAAAGGTGAAATGGAAGGAGAAAACGCTTTAATTGTACATCTCCAGCCAATAAACTTGAAACAAAAATGGATTCTTATTAGTTCCAACAGTCTAGAAATCTATAAGGGAAAAAAAAATAAATGCATTTCTTAGTAGTTTCTCTAGAAATTGCAGAAATTTAAAATAAAAAATAGTTCGTAAGTTGTGGTATTTTTATCATGACACATCGATTTATAAACGTTTAACTAAAAACAAATAATTCTGTAGGCAAATTGCACTCACTAGTGATGAGATAATGAAAGTTGCCTCGTAAGAGCAGTTGAAATACAAACCACTTTTCCAACTTTTGTATTTATTATATCTATAACTATATTTTATTTGAAAAATTCAAATTTCATTATTTAAATTATCTATATATATATATATAAAGGTTTGATTATTTTTTATATAGTAACTATTTTTCTAAAAATAATATATATTTATATATTAACTATTAGTGTGAACACTCGCTGTTTATATCAAGCAGGACGAGGTTGTTTATATACTGCGAGTGTTCACACTAGGGGCGGTACCGTAATTAACTAACTCTTCAAGTGTGAACGCAACAAACCAAGTAATTACGGTATCGCCCCTAGTGTGAACACTCGCAGTATATAAGAGAAATTAATTTAACAATTTATGGTATATTTCAAATAATCATTTATGGAAATTGCGACTCATTATTTAATGAAATAATTAAGTCAAAAAAAAATAATTTATTTTTACAATACCTTAATTACTCAAATCACGTGAATTTGGCTGATTTACCCAAATATGGGATTTTCGGCTGCAATATCAATTATGTGATTTGGTAAAAAAAATTTCAACTAAATTGTGTAATTTATTATTTAATATGTGTTTTATATTTTTCGTGTAATTTTTTTGTGAAATGCATTTTTAATATACTTTAATTATGCAAATTGTGTAAATCCGACTAATTATTCAATCTGCAAATAATTACTACAATTATGAAAATATCGACAACGTTAATCAATTATGAGATTTGCAAAAAACTGTTCTAAAAAAATTGTATTTGATGTTTTTTAATAACTGTTTTTTGGGTATTTTTTATTTTTATCTATAGAAAACGTGAGTCTCGATTTTGTTTTGTACGATGAGCAATTAATTTCTTTGTAAAATTGAATATCATTTTTATATTTTATCGATAAAGTATGAAATTTAATTATTTGTTATAATGTATACTGATCCAATATACCCGTTTATGATAAAAAAAATAGTATCTCAATGTATTTTTTTTTTCATAATGCTAAGCATATTACTCGATATTAATTAAAAAAAAATCTGAAAAGTACTATGATCGATATTTCTTTGTAAATATGCATGAAACATATCAAATTATTTGGTACAGTCAAACTTTAGTGTTCAGTGTGGAAATTAAACTCCAAAATATGAAACACCTTATCTCATGCTAAGCTTATAAAACCCCCTTCATACGTACGCATCATCGGAGATCGTCAAAGCTTAAGCAAAACTTAATCACNNAAAAAAAATCGATTTATAACTAAATCATCAAACAAACTATCCCGATCCCTACAATGACGAAACTACCCTTATTCAACTCGAGTACTCTGCTGCTCTTCCTCATTTTTCTTCTCTCATCCTTTTCGTTTTTTCGTAAATTCAAAATACATTCCCGCCGAAAGAACCGCCTTGCTAGTCATGAAAAAAGCGTGGGGCAACCCCACAGCCCTCCCACACTGGACCCTGACGTCATGTCCCTGTGGCTGGCCGGAAATCAACTGCTCCCGCGACGGCTCCGTCACCGGAATCAACATCAACAACTACAACATCTCCGGTAACGTGTCCGACTCCATCGGCGTCCTCCACCACCTAACCCATCTCGATTTGGGTTTCAATTATCTCGAGGGAAATTTCCCGGCCACCATACTCAACTGCTCGAAGCTCGAGTATTTGGACCTCTCACTAAACAACTTTTCCGGCAACATTCCGCCGAAAATTGGGAGCCTGTCGGAGCTCCGTCTTCTGTACCTTTGCGAGAATTACTTCGATGGCAGCTATCCGGAGGAGATCTCCAACCTGTCGAAATTGGAGGACATTTGTTTGTCGTACAACAATTTCACGCCGGCGCCCATACCTTGGGCGTTCGGAAAACTGACGAAAGTAAGAGTTTCCAGATGAGGCAGAATAACGTCAACGGAAAGATTCCTGAGAGCTTCGGGAATTTGTCGAGCCTCACCTTTTTGGACTTGGCTATGAACAATATCGAAGGTACCCTTTTCTCGTTGAGAAATTTGATAACGGTTTATTTGTTTAGGAACCAGCTTTGGGGTCCGATTCCTCAAGTAATCAAGTCTTTTGATTTGGTGAGTCTCGACTTATCCGAGAACTACTTGAGTGGTCTGATCCCGGACGATGTCAGGAGACTCGAAAAGTTGGAGGTTTTGCATCTTTCTATTAACAATCTATCGGGTGAAATGCCACCTAGCGTAGGCCGACTTCCCAACCTTAAATATTTTCGTACTTTCACGAATAATCTAAATGGAACTCTTCCCGTTGAAATGGGAAAGCACTCGAAGCTCTTAGAAGTCGATGTTTGTGAGAATAGTTTCACCGGAGAACTGCCGAATAATTTGTGCGGTGGTGGTGCTTTGATCCGTGTGTTTGCTTTTCAAAACAAATTGAAATCACTACAACAATGCCAAACTCTCGTCCTCATGGAGCTGTACAATAATAGCTTCACGGGCGAGCTCCCGAGTATAATGGGGCCGAGTTTAACTCATTTTGAGGCAAGTGACAACGAGTTTAGTGGTGAAATCTCGACTAATGTTTCGTTGTGGACGAGTTTGGTTGTGTTCGAGGCAGGCAACAACAAGCTGTCAGGGACCATCCCGGCAGAACTGGCGAGCCTGCAAATGCTTACGGCTTTGAATCTTTCCTCGAATAATTTATCGGGTTCGATTTCGCCTGCGTTTGGTTCTTTAAACGCCCTTCACAGTTTGGATTTGTCGACTAACCAACTTTCCGGTGAGATCCCAGCTCAGTTAGGAAACTTAAACTTGACTTTCCTAAACCTTTCTTCGAATCATCTCACCGGAAAAGTTCCTGACAAGTTGGATATTGCGGAGTTTAACGGAAGTTTTCTAAACAATCCGGGTCTTTGTGCCACAGTCAAAATCTCCGACCTTCCCATTGGGCCGAACCTCCAGAATACAAGAATCACGTGCACAAACGAAAATTATTAAACATATGATAGTAGTAAAAGTTAAGGTGGATATGTGCTTAGTGTCTGTCGTTAATAAGAGCGATTTGGGACTAATAAATGCTAGTTTTGTATGGTGTTTTGATGAACTTATATGTATCTTGTTATGGGGAAATACTAAGGTCCCGTTACGGTACCATCCCGTCGGTAGTTTTAACCGTTGGATGCACATGTAGTTAATATAAAATAGATGATCCAACGGTTAAAACATCCAACGGGATGGTACCGTAACAGGACCATAGCATTCCCCCTTGTTATGATGACCAAAGTTGTGTGTTTTATGAATAAATGATAGGAAGATGTTTACCTACATTAGCCAAAGACGGATTTACATCACGGAACCCCCCTGATTTTTTTTTAAAAAAAATTCATTATATATATATATATATATATATATATATTACAAAAAATGGATAAAATTGAAAAAATATTTACAATATATAATTAATTAAAACTTAGTTACTATGCTATTTTAATTTAAATTAATAATATTATTTATTTATTGAAAAATGTACTAACAATCCTAATATTTTACATTTCTAGATAAGTTTTTGAAAATATTTATAATGATTTATTCTTTCGGCCTCTTAATTATAATTTATTTAGTGATTTATAAAACCGAGTATTTAATTGAATTATTAGATTTTGAATGTTAATTATTACTTTTTTTTTTTTATGTAATCACATATTTTTAACTTTATTTTTTTTTAAAAAAAAAATGGTCATTTGATAAGCTCTCATCAACACAAATGATGTGCAATGTGCTGTAAAAGTTCAATTTAATAAATTTTCAACCAAAAAAATTATTCCATAAATTATAAATGTTGAACTTAAATTATAAATACATGAAATCTCTTTTCTTTTTGTTATTTTTTTAAAAGTTTGATGGTGATACGAATTTTAAGGTTTTTAAAACTTGATGGTACACATATCGATATTTATATTTATAAGTAAACACATTTTTATATCAAATGAGTATTTCGACATAAGCTACAAGCTCGTTATTTAACATTTAAAATGAACCCCCTGAGTAAAATTACTAGATCCGTCACTGACATTAGCACTTGTTTTATGTCAATTATTGTTCTGATGATGTTTTTACAACCGATATAAAAACTCTTATTCGAATTGTAATTTTTTCCACTTGCAATCTTGTGCTATTAATGGTGAAACATGACAAAGGCAGTTCATACTAATTCATAGCTAATAATAACCTCCTAATCAAATAGAAAATAGATAATAAACCCTAAATCAATCAGAATTTCAACCAACAATATTCCACACTAACAAGTCTTGCTTTAATACACTGCAACACTTCATAATAGTGAAAACACCAAGGCACCATCAACATATTTCATCATAACTAATAACAACCTAATCAAACATAACACAGCTAATAAACCCCTATTCAATCAAATGTTCAAAAATAAAAAAAAAAAACCATATAGATAGATAATTAAAGAAAGGCAAAAATGGTTGAAGATTGTGAATAAATTATAACATCTCAATTTTCATGATTATAATAGATTATAGTTATGGCTTCTTGACTCCATCTAAAAAAATATTGGCTGAATTAGATTTTTAAATTGAACATTAATCTATATTTGTAAGAACTGCAAGAAGTCTCCAGTTGTTCCATCACCAGTTTCATAGTATCAATCTTGATTATTAAACGACAAGCTTAGCAATCTGATTATTAAAACAACCATACATAAGATAACTTTTTTAGAAGATAAACAAAGTTACAGTAATATAGAATAAAACACCATAAATAAATAAGATGATTATTTCAAAAATAAAAAAGAAGTTACAGCAATCTACTGTTGTTTCCAGATTCAAGTCTTGCTCGTGCATGTCATCTGTGCCAATACCATCACAATCAATACCACAACAGTTGTATAATAACAAAAACCCACGTGACTATGAAGGATAATAACAAAAAGAATACATATGGACTACTAGTTCTACACAAACCGTAAAAGCGTTTATATTCATGATTCTGAAACGTACACGAACACAAAGAATCGTGAAGATTTTCGTTTTGTTTCCTCAATCATCATCTTGTTGCTTAGAAAATGCCATTAAACATAATGAACCGTCTAAAATTTCTAAGTGAAAAATTACTCTATTGTACTTCAATAAACTACAATACAGTTTGCTCCTACTAAAGCATTGAGATAAGCTTGACTGACCTCCACGTATAAATATGGTTACAGCCCTTGAATTTGCATAGTGCTGAATATAAATATCATACTATCTTTAGTGGTTCGAAAGGCTTTTTATCTGACCCAAACCAGCCTGACAAATGGCGTTAGTAAAAATAACCTTAGTGCAAACCGCAAACCATTCATTTATTTACATAACAAGGGAAATCACATGAGGATATCTAGTATCTTCTTTGACAAACATTGATAAACTAGAGGAATAGAATTAAGCAAAATGAAAATAAAGGTATGTGAATCACATGTGGAAAGGTCATCTAAGAGAAACTGCACTAACCTCCACATAGGAACAGTTTACCGAATCCTTTCTTTAGCTCCTAAAATTTAATTAGAGAGAGAGACTTTATGATAATTCAACTACGAGCTTATCAATCTGATTTGTACGTCCGTTTGCTCAAAGATTCTTGTACCATCGTTCGCAGAACTTTTTCACATAAATAAAAGAAGTTACAGTAACATTTATTAAAATATTACTTTTACCAGAAAAACACAGCATTTCTGATATAACCCAAGGTCAGAGATATGAAACATCAAGGCAACTACTATCCTTGTCTTTTATAAGGCATATCCATATTTCTCAACAATTCATCAAAACAGAAGCTGCAATCACTAGCTGGTCGTTTACACTTTGGCACCATATGCAAGAAATTACCAATACCCTTTTTCTTCATATCCTTCAGCCAACAGAAAAGTAGTCCAAGGCAGTTGTGCACTGCATTTTAGCCTCAATAAACATAAACCAACATCAGAACTAGTCAAATATTAATATTTGAAGTGCAATTGGATCTGCTAATAATTGAGACACTTTATATATCTTTTTTATCAAAAGGCCTCACAAAAGGTATGAAATCAAGTTCAACAAGAAAGAATTGACTAGCTGGTCGTTTACGCTATAGCACCATATGCAAGAAAATACCAATGCCTTTTTTCTTCATATCCTTCGGCCAACAAAAAAAGTAGCCCTAGGCAATTACACGCTGCATTTTAGCATCAATAATCATAAACAATCATTAGAACTAGCCAAATCTGAATATTGAAGTGTTATTGGATTTCCAATAGACATTATATTCTTTGTAATGCATCTGAAAATTTTACCAAAAGCCTCCACAAAAGGTGTGAGCGGATATCGAGTGCAAACACATAACAGAATACAAAGGCTTTGAAAATCTCAAATGAAGCTCAACAGAGTACCAAAAAGAAAAAGGAACATTATAGATAAAAACAACAAAAACATGTCTAAATCACTACCTTGAATTTTTCAAAACAAAACAACGATATCAAAACTAAATAAATAAAACATTCATACATTATAGAACGAACATATAACTTAATGACTAGAGCTCGAATCCGAAACTCCCTAGAGCACAACACTTGATGAGGAACACCATCATGCCCATCGCTAATAAAATTTGCTTCAATAACAAGCGAGGACTTCAATGGGAAGGCAACCCAACACCTCGAGAGCTCCACCAAACACCAAGATATCTATAAACAAGTTGCCTTGCTCTTCTGAACCATTGCATCAAAGTGCTAATGCTACTGTAGACGTTAAGTCTTGAATTTGCTTCTACCGTGTCAATATTTACCTTATGTTTAGTCTGAACCAAAGGCTCGATAGAATAGTAGTCCTAGGAAATTACATATATTGCTTTTGACCTCATTATTCAGAAGTCAACATCAGAACTGGCCATGTCCTTAAATTTGAAGTATAATTGGAAATTTTATTTATTGGGACATAATTTACATTGTAATGTATCTAAAGTTTCAACAAGAACCTTGACAACATGTATGAAGTGTGAAACAAAGACTGCGACAAAATTGAATGAGAGCCCAAAAAAATAAGAAAAAAAGACTGCGACATAATTGGAAATTTTATTTGTTGGGACATAATTTACATTGTAATGTATCTAAAGTTTCAACAAGAACCTTGACAACATGTATGAAGTGTGAAACAAAGACTGCGACAAAATTGAATGAGAGCCAAAAAAAATAAGAAAAAAAGACTGCGACATAATTGGAAATTTTATTTGTTTGGACATAATTTACATTGTAATGTATCTAAAGTTTCAACAAGAACCTTGACAACATGTATGAAGTGTGAAACAAAGACTGCGACAAAATTGAATGAGAGCCAAAAAAATAAGAAAAAAGAAAAGAAAATGAAATCCTAAAAGCATTAAGATAAACCTGACTCACCTCCACATCTAAATATGGTTACAACCCGTGAATTTGCACAGGCTCGATATATCATTCAATCTCTAGTAGTTCCTAAAGCTAATTCCCTAACCAATGTAGCCTAGCAATTGGCGTGAAAAATAATTAGCTCTTTAAGTGCAAATCATTGAACCATTTACCCAATGTTTCCACTTTATTTCTGCACCTCTTGAAATGCATAATATCAATTACAAACTCCTTCCTCTTCCCTCAATTTTACCAAACCTATCGTCAACCTATTTAAGAATACATTGCCTTGCATTTCTGAATCATGTCATTAAAAGTACCTTCGGTCCTGTTTGCGTAAAGTTCGGAATTCTACATGGCATCAATGAAAACCTTATGTTTAGTCTTTGGCTTAGGAGGCTCAAGGGGCACGTCAAAATACCCAGGGACTATTTTCTCACTTATGGACTAGACCAAAATGGCTCAATTAAATTCTAGTGCTAGTTTCTATTTCTAGAAAAAAAAAAAAAAAATATCAAACGACGCACTGCACCTTGGGTCGCTACGGAAACAGCCTCCTTGTATAATTACAAGGGTAAGGTTTGCGTACAACTGACCCCCAGACCCCAGCCTGTTTGGGAATATACTGAGTATGTTGTTGTATAAACCTTTATGAGGTGTTTATATTCAAGTCTGAGAAATGTTTATGGATTTTTCTGTAATGAGACCAAAATCTTGGGCATCCTTTTTCTTGTTTCAATTTACCCTAATTGTTATCAAATTTTTCAAAAAAGAACCAAAGAAAAAAGGAAAGATTACCGTAGATTGCAGTTTATGTGTGATGGAGACCACAATTTCCCACCAGCGCCATCGGCGCAGCATCTAATGCATACACAAATTCCCCAATATCGCACTCTCAACTTAAACAAGCAAATTCTCACCAGAGTGGGAATGAATATATACAAAAAGGAGACTAAAATCCCAACATGTTGAACTCCATAAAGAATAAGAAAAGTTAAATATAAGGATTTCCCACACCATAAGCAGCGCAAGAAAGAAGAATTCTCAAAACAAGTGGTAAAATTTCACGATTATTCATATCATCCAAAAAGACAAGAAATTTGAGGGAGGGACGATATATTAGAGGATAAAGGATAAAAACTAACAGTAAAGTACCTCGAACAATTTCACAAAGAAATTAACTGTTAAATTTCAATGCCTCATTTGTGCGATAACATTCACTCGTATACATTAACAATAAAAAACAAAACGCATACTCTTGGTTCTTCAATTTTGACATTTCAAAATACAAACAAATCAGACAAAAGATTAAGATAGACTAAAGAAGTGTTTAATGGCCCAAGATTCCCCTAAACCCATGTGACAGCTGATATTAAGAATTTCACTGCAATCCAATCAAGCTGCAAACACTCTACTCTTGAATTTTCAGCACCAATCTGATAACGGACAGCTACTCCCTATAAGATGTGTGTATGAAAAATTTCAAAAATGAAAAATATAAGTAATCCATAACCCAAAATCTTTTTTCAAACACAATTCAAAAACAAAAATCTAAATTATTATACTCAACTACAACAATTTTTTTTCTTTAAAAAACAACAAAAAATTAAGAATTAAAAAAAACTAAGTATACGTCCAGAAAAAAATTATACATGAATGATCTAACAAACACAATCACAAAACAAAGGTTCTATCAACTGAATTGAAGATGAAAAAAGTTTTGAGAAGATAATTACAAATAAAACTAACATCACGGAATTTAGAAGTTAACAAGAGATTCTAAAGTTCGTGATCAAATCTAGCAAGTATCTTCCTCTCAACCTCACCCTCCAGTCGAAGACACTGCTTTGAGTGAATTCATGATCAATATTTTTTTCTAATGACCTTTGTTAAGTTCGTGTTACACAACACCGCCACCGCCAATCCAAGTTTGAGGGTTCTTTTAAAACTGATGTCGCACTCTGTAGCGAGTTTGTGTGAAAGTGGAAAGAGTTTTTTGTTGCACAATGCATATATGTACCAAACCTTTGAGAGCGACCTGAAATTCTTGATAAAGGCCCACAACACTAAGCGCCGACACAAAGCTCTATAAGTCAACTCCGATCAGAGTCAACAAAGCAATAATGTCCATCTCTGACTTAGAGAGCTTTGTGTCGGCTCTTAGTGTTGTGGGCCTTTATCAAAAATTTCAGGTCGCTCTCAAAGGTTTGGTACATATATGCATTGTCCAACAAAAAACTCTTTCCACTTTCACACAAACTCGCTACAGAGTGCGGCATCAGTTTTAAAAGAACCCTCAAACTTGGACTGGTAATGGCGGCATTGTGTAACACGAATTTAACAAAGGTCGATGAGTGAAAAAAAAAAATGACCATGAATTCACTCAAAAAGACTTTGACTTTATGGAGAGTGAGGTAGAGAAGAAGATACTTGCCAGGTTTGATCACGAACTTTAGAATCTCTTGTTAATTACTAAATTTCCTGATGTTAGTTTTATTTGTAATTATCTTCTCAAAACTTTGTTCATCTTCATTTCAGTTGATGGAACCTTTTAGAACCTTTGTTTTACAAGTGTTTGTTGGATCATTCAAGTATAATTATTTTCTAAACGTATACTTAATTTTTTTAATTCTTAATATTTTGTTGTTGAGTATAATAATTTAGATCCTTGTTTCGAATTGTGATTGAAAGAAGATTTTGAATTATTGATTTATTTATATTTTCCAATTTTGAAATGGGTCATGTACACATCTTATAGGGAGTAGCTGTCCGTTATCAAAGTGCTGAAAATTCTAGAGTGGAGTGTTTGCAGCTTGATTGGATTGCATGAAATTCTTCGTATCAGCTGTCACATGAGTTTTGGGGAGTCTTGGGTCATTAAACACATTTTTAGTTTATCTTAATAATTTGTCTGATTTGTTTGTATTTTGGAATGTCAAAATTGAAGAAACAAGAGTATGCATTTTGTTTTTTATTGTTAATGTAATACGAGTGAATGGTATCGCACTCATTTGTGCGTTGAATATTAAAGTTTCACCGTTAATTTTTTTGTGAAATTGTTCGAGGTACTTTACTGTTAGTTTTTATCCTCTAATGTATCGTCCCGCCCTTAAATTTCTTGTCTTTTTGGATGATATGAATAATCATGAAATTTTACCATGTGTTAGTTTTTACCATTTCTTTTGGATGACTATAAATTCACTCGAGCGGACTTTGACTTTATGGAGAGTGAGGTTGAGAGGCTCCTGCGAGAGAAGAAGATACTTGTCAGGTGTGATCACGAACTGTAGAATCTCATGTTAACTAACAATCTCGCTGATGTTAGTTTTATTTTTGTAATTATCTTCCCTCTTGAGACTTTGTTTATCCCTTGCGCTTTCTTTTTCCACTTTTTATCCCCATCCTAAAAAGAGCAAAGGATTGCCATTATTACATGAAAATTAAAATTCTATTCCATATCTACAAGCATCAAATGCTACAATGTGAACAAGCATAGCAAATCAGTCGTACAATAGAACTTGGCCAAGCTTCTATAAAATGTCAACTTATTTATTAAGTATGCTACAATGCGAACAAGCATAGCAAGTCATTTTTGGCCAAGCTTCTATAAAATGCACGGTTCTCAAAATCGGACCGGACGGCCGGTTCAACAGTGAACCAGTTGACACACCGGTCTGGTTTGAGGTACATAAGGGTCCAAAACCGGTCAAAAACCGTTCAAATCGACTGAGGACCGGTAAAAACTGGAGAACGGGATGCGGTCCATGTGGCCCTGTGTACAACTTTATTACACCCAGCCAAAGTCATGGTTTAAATAGCAGTGTTTTGTTTTGTGTTTCCAATGTGAGACTGCTGCAAAGGGGCCATGAAGATGTGATGAGCTCACTTGGGTCAATTTTAAGCCCACATATTTATGAACACGCGAGAAGATTATTTGAATATCCATTGGTCTAAGTCAAAGCCTATTATTGGAAAGTAAAGTACATCCCATTAAAGCCTTGGAGTGAAATTTAATTAGATAATAACTAAACCTGACATATTTATTTTTATTGCAAATATTTATTGGTGTATTTAATGTTTGGCCCGGTATTTCTAGCATTATTGTGATAAAAAACCTTAAAAACCTCATTCTTTTCGTTATGTTGGGCCTGTGACTTTATTGTGATAAAAAATATCATTATTTTCATCTAATCAACAAGTAATTTATACATCTCATTACAATTCTATATATATAGACTTTAATAAAAGAAAATGAACATTATATGGGTTGTATCTTTTATGAACTCTTATTTAAAGAAATATCATTCTACACTATAAAATTAATGATAAACATATATTCAATTATATATTATACATATAAAATAAATAAAAAATAATATATATTATTAAACCGGTTCGCCCACTGGTGAACCATTGAACAGGTAGCTTCACCGATTCGATGACCGGTTTGGTTTTTAAAACCTCGATAAAATGTCAACTTATTAGGAGCTAAAACAAACCTTAGTAGTGCAAACTGTTTTTTAAGTCCATATAGCTAAATAAGAACTTATTCTAGTTAATTTAACATCCTTTATATTTCAATTTGTAGAATTTTCCTAGCAAAGTAGTCTAATACAACAACAAATAAGAAAGAGAGAAGGAGCAGAAATCACATTTAAGTCCCAAAATACACAAAGGAATGCGTAAATGGTCTTACTCCCAACACTATACAAAGGAAATTAATTGGACTGTGAGCACAAATTGAACTCAAACCCAAATAAATCACAAAGTTCACAGAATTCACTCAACACAACTCAACATTTTACAAATTTCACAAAAACTCACAAACTCACATGCCACAACATTTCAACAATTGGAAATCACCAATTAAAGTAAGTAAAGATTGACCCCAATTCAATGAACACAGCCACATTCAGTCAACTAAATTAACCACAAAAAATAAAATACAGTTTTAGCTAATACCTGGAATAGTGGTATGATGTCAGTCGGAATGGGAGAGCTCCGGGATTGTTGACTTTCTGGTCGTCCGGCGACGAGCTTCGTGCGGGGCAGGAACAGATTTTGTGCCGGTAGACTGGTGGCAGACCAGACCGGCGATGGGCTGGTGGCTGCTGTCTATCTACTCTGCGTATTAAAAGATAATTCGTTTTGTCCAGTATTAAAACCAAAAATCCAGCGTTTTTATCGGTTTGGTTATCGGTTATCCGACAAAACGGAGAAATGACAAAAATAATTTGGAAACCTAATCAGAAAATTTGAGAAGCAAACTGGTTCAGATGTTAACAATTTGGAAACCCACAAGCTTTATTCAGAAGCAAATTGGTTCAGCTCACTAGCTCAGATCAAAGACATAAAAATTAACCAAAAATAAAATTGACGAGCTTGAATTTGTTCAATCGAAATTCACCGAATTGGTTCAGTCGAAACAGAATAATCACGAGTCAAAAGAAGAAAAAGAACTTTAAAGTCTTGAAAATCACGAACCTGAGATGCAGCCCGTACGAGGGGATTTGGGTAGCGAATTAATTTGAGAAGACGAGCGTCGCCGTCGAGTGTCAGCCTGCCGGGTGGAGCGTGTGGTGTGCAGGTGCGGTAGCAGGAGAGCCGAGCGATGATTTGGGTAGCGATTAGGGATTTCAAACTTCAGAATTCAGAGCTTCGAGCGAGATTTGAAGACATGGAGTGTGTAATTGTGTGCGGCGGATGGGCGGAGACGATGTTAGGTAGGGTTTACTCGTTTTCAACGTTCGTTTGGACTTGGGAAATCTTTTGAGAATTGGACTGGGTGAATGGAGATAACAGACGAGTGGCATTGGATTTGGGCCTGCTTCGTGGTGCACCTGGTGGTGGGTAGGCCGTGGGTGGCACTAGCCTTGGCCTGTGGATATTGTAATATATTGGTTAATTGAGAGATTATATCCAAATCGAATCGAAAATCAAAATATTAAAAAAATATAAACCAAAAATCGAACCAAGTTTTGATTTCGGTCGAAACCAAATTTTTGATTTCGGTCGGTTTCTATTTGTTAACCATTATTTTGTGCACTCCTAATGTGAGGCAAGCTAACTTAAGTGACTTTAGTTTTAAGCTGATGAGCCAATGGAGTTTGGAAAAATTAGGGCATCAAATAGTCGTGTGTTTGTAATTACACGTCTTTTCGTTTTTCGGGTCCATTTTAAGTTACGTTTAGCGATTTCTTTTATTTGTATCCTTGTTAAATTTTCTATTTATAAAACTGCATTATTTGTTATTTTATATAAAATGACAGACTTTAATTATATAAGATAATGATTTTTTTTTCTCACCCATGTCAGAGCATTGCGTATCATACTATCCATTAATAATAATTTATTTCACACATTTATGATATTGCATATCAATATTTTACGCCAATTATATTGATAATAAAGTGATTTTTCATTTAAAATTTAAAACTAGGAATAAATTTTTTTTACTTAATTGCTAATAAAATCACAATCTTTTTTTTTTTCCAAATAAAACCAACTAGTACAATACCCGTGTAAATACACATGTGTTGAATTAGGAAGTATGTGTAAAAAAATATTATTTTTTTTAAACTAAAATAATTTAATTTTATATAAAACATTACTTTGAGTTTTAATTAAATTGTCAAATTGTATTGTTTTAATCATAATAATTAAACATATGTATATTAAATAAAAATGTCAACTCATATTGAATTTTTTTACTTATATCATTAAAATTATCGATATTATTTACTATTAAATAAATAGAAATAATATGGTGATATGCATATGCATAAGTGCAGAATATGTTTGTTTAATATTAAACAAAATAGATTAATTTTTTACTTAATTATATGTTTAATACATCAAGTG